ATGATAAGTTCTTTTAGATCTTTCTCCAAAAACATCTGTAGACATGGCTGACTTACACTTTTTTCCAATGGTTGCACTTTGTTTGGAGAGAGGATTCATAAAATAAAATAAATATGGTTAAAAGCATTGTTGAAAATTTTTTCCCAACCTGTCTTGAATCATATACCATTAGTTATGTGCCAAATACCTTTTGCAGAAGAAGCTGGTAGGTCTTAAATAAATACTTCTCCTTTTCCTTCTTCTGTGGGACCCCACCTCCTTCAATGATAAAGATTTCCACAGGTTTGTTGATTTATCCCTCTGTTAGTTTACCTTTACCCTCTGTTAATTTATCCATAGCATGGTGACCAGTGTGAAATGCAATCTATGTTTGAAACTATTAAACTCAACAATGACAAATGTCCCACCCCTAGGGGACCTTTGATGACAAAATGCTCCACCATGGCAAATGCCATCAAATGCAGAGCAAGCCAGTGGGGTGATGGGTATGCTTGGCACTGACTCAGCCATTAGAAAATGCAATCAATGGATATATGTGGCGAAAAAGTCGAACAGTCACAATCCATCAAGAACCTAGGTGTAAACCTAGATGAAAACCTAAACTTTAGGGATCGTATACGTAGTGTGTGTAAGAAAGTTAGCGGGATGATCGGAATATTAAGAAGGCTTAAAAATCTTATCCTAGTAAATGCCAAGTTACTTTTGTACAAATCAGCTATAATGCACACCTTACCTATTGCCACCTAGTGTGGCATTTTTGCACGGCATCTGATAGTCGTAAATTGGAGCGTCTACAAGAAAGAGCCTTAAGATTAGTGTATAATACTTCTACCGAAAGTTATGACACCTTGCTTAAAAGAGCTAAGTTAACTACTTTACAAAATAGGAGGTTGCAGGATATACTCATTTTGATGTTTAAAGTAAAAAACAAATTAACAGTAAACCAAACTGCAGATATTTTTAATATCAACGAGGAGAATACTAATAGTAAGAGATATAACCTAAGAAATGCAGATTTTGTCTTACCTCGGTTTAAAACTGTTACTTAATAGGGGGAGGGTCATGCAAACATGTGTCCGAGATCATGTAGGGGTTCACCCACAGTAGAAAAAAGAAGTTCTTTATTTTGTATAAAAAACCTGAGAGAAACAGGAGAGTTGGGTGATCAGCTGTCAGAATCAGAGTCGGACTCTGAATGCTGTTATCTAAAATGTATGTATATGGCATTACCAAGAACAGATTAGAAATATATTTTGAGCTTTCATAATAGTCTGACTCACCCTACTGTATTGCAGACACTAGATTTTATCATTTATACAAGAGGGGGAGGGTCATGATATTTGTGGCCAAGGTCAAGGGGAGGCTTAGCAAATTTCACTCCCATTGCAGGGATGGGTCACCTCATTTCCGAACCCAAATTTAAAATTCCCAGCTGTTCCCCACCCCCCCTTCCCAACTCTCAACCACTTCCTTTTGCTAGCAGCTCCCTACAGTCTCTCCGCCGATCTTTGTTCAAGATAGTTACGCAACGTCTCACATGTAACTGTCATGTGACAACTGATAGGACCACGCTACATAGTAGCTACTTATTTTGGCCAAAGTCAAGGGGAGGCCTAACAAATTTCCCCCCCATTTGAGGGAATGGTCACCCCATTTCCCAAACCAAAATTAAAATTCCCCCCCCCCCACCCCCCCCCCCCCTGCTAATTTCTGACAAGTCTCTTATGGAAGACAGTTCTCTCAGATTTCTCGGACCATAATTGTGGTCAAAATTAAGCAAGGAGGAGAGAAATATTGGAACTTTGGCAACTTTTAGGACAATGATACGTATGAAGGATGTAACATCATTTCTTGAAGGATGTGGGAGTGAATGCCGCTTATGCTTAGGTTATCTGGACGTACGCATATTTACTAATTCATTTTAGTGTCCGAGCTCATATATGCATTTGCTGGTTTTTATTTTGTAAATTTCGAACTTAGTTTCAAAGTGTAAAAGAGTAAATTTAGAACTTAGTTTTAAAGTGTAAAAGAGTAGTTAGTTTGAATAGTGTTAATTTCCGGCTTTTTTATACCTTTTATAGTACTTAATTAGTCTCTTTTAATGATGTAATTTTAAGTTTTAAAGGTGTCCCCAGTTAGTGCCAATAAGGCACTAGAACTATTAGACACTTTAATAGAGGTTATGTATGTATGTATGTGAAAATTCTACATTATGTCGCTACATTTCTGACAGGTAATTGTGAAAGCCAGGTGTTTTGGCTTTATGAATTTTTTAGGCTGGAAGTTTATTTAGGTCTGAGCACAGATGGCCACTCAGACTCTATAGGAACTGTGTTAAGTTTTGTAAGAGAATGCATGGGGATAAACAAAATAATTACCCTATACATGTATTAACTATAGACCACTATATACATTTTGAAAAGATTTGAAATAAAATGGCTTTGGTTTACTGTCTGTTTGCTTCTAGAACAGAGAGTTGAATACCTAGGGTACTCCCTATAATAGCCTATTCGGGGAGGCTCCACTCTACCATATTTCTCACAGTAAGTACATTTGAATTCTGGTTGAATATTTATGAAAATTATGGAAGTGACCATGGAAATCTTGAGAAAGATCGGCGATTTTTTTAACCTTGAACAGACATTTTCCATTGCCGCAATGGAATTTTTCGGTTATAATTCTCTAGACTTTAATGCCCCATCATTAGGCAGATTTCCTCTCTTCACTTTATGGCCATGGCCTGTTTAAATTCCAGAATATTAATCGACTATAAACAGCTTTTCGTCAGAAAACACGTGGACAAAAAATCTTCCTGGGCATCGTGCAAAGGGGGGAATTTCATATATCC